ATAAATAAATTAATAATAAGATTCGAACATCAATAAATTGTTCTTTTCATGAACTTTTGTATTATTTTCACATTACTTACCGAATTTTATACTGAATGTGCGTTGTGTTCACATTTCAAAACAACACACATTAAAATGTGTGTGTGTTATAAATTACAACTTGGATACGCGGACACGATGATACAAAAATGAGCTTTTACGATTGTCTTTGATGTGCTATTATTGTACACCAGTTTTATTATAGTTAAATTGTACACTATGTGTTTACGATTGAACATAATAGGATCTTATATTTGTCTTCAAAAAAAAAAAAGAAGAAAATAGCTTTAAAATTCTTGGATGACGGGACTGTTGTGTACAGTAATTAAAATGTAACTCTTACTGATTCCAAAAACTTTTTATTCTCTTGAATCTAGCTAGCTTAGGTATCAAGACCTTCAACGTAGGTGCAAGGTCTGGTGAGTATGGTGGATGAGGGAGAGCTTCCAACCCCAGCTCTTGCAGCTTGGAGACTGTCTGTTGCGCAGTATGGGGTAGCGCGTTCTCGTGAAGGAGCAGTGGGGACGACCGATTGACCAAAGCTGGTTGCAGATGTGACCACCAGACATTGCACCTATCGACTATTACTTTTTCCAAAATTTAGACAACTTTTTAGTGGGTAAAAAATTCAATTCCCAAGAGGCAGTACAAAATGACTTTGAAGAGTTTGTTGCCTCCCGTCTAGCTGATTTTTACAAGAAGCCCTTCTTGTTTGACAAGTTTGTTCAAGTTGACATCAATAAACTGCCAATGCGTTGGCAAAGATTGCATGGGTGATTACTTCGAATAACAGAAATAAAAAAGTTTGAAAAAATAAGTACTTTCACTTATTGCATACAAAACGGCAATTTCATAGGTAAAGACCTATTATATAAAAATAAAAAGCAATGATTAAAATGAGATAAGGACTTTAAACATTCCGTGGCGTCGTAGAATTAGATATTTCCAGTCTCGACATCCGTTCCCTACTTACGTATTAGACTTAAGACCAGCATTAATCGGCTAGAATAACATAGGCTAAAGTTTGCTATGGTTTCTGAACTAACATGGATTCCGTGCAATTTAAGAAAGAATTATAATTATATTGCTTTCTAAAAATACTTTTAAGGCAAGTTTCCATAGAAAATAGAAAACATATTCACTGTAAAAAGATTGTCTGATCGCATATCACGCCCAATATTGATTTCACGTTTTGATTTCTATTCCGAACTTTATAAAAAGTTTGACAAAAACAAAGGCACGTTTTATTGGACATTTGAAACTTTGAAGTTTTGCAATTTCAAACTACAGAAAGGTAAAAAATAAGTACTTCCCTGTTTTCTCTCTAGAGAGTATATAGAAGTTTATGTTTTTTCATAGCAGTGAATGAAAGTTGAACTCTGAGATTCATATAATATTCTGTAGAGATATTACATCAACAGATGTAAGACTAACTATTGTTCAAAGTCATTCATGGAATTCAAGAAACATAATATCACGTTATTGTTAATATCTCCCATATGATTCCTGATCCTGATCCCTTTCGATTATATTTACTTAAACTCTTTCATCATGCTGTGTAACTCCTCTAATCAGTGAGCGTCACATCATCATCATATCGACAGCCTTTAATAGTCCACTGCTGGACATAGGTCTCTCTTTAGAAAAGAGGTTTTGGCATACTATGGCGTCACTTCATAAAATTTATGGGAACTTCCTTCTCTTCAAGATAATTGTATTGCTTCTTTTAGAGCGCGACATGCATTAAAACCGGCCAAGTGCAAGTCGGACTGGCGCACGAAGGGTTCCGTCCATTATCTATAAAAACATCAAAAAATCTCGTTTGTTGTATGCGAGCTCCCCTTAAATATTTATTTTATTATAACTTAATTATCTATATTTAATGTGAAAATATTTTATTCGGTTTTTAGTATTTGTTGTTATAGCGGCAACAGAAATACATCATTTGTGAAAATTTCAACTGTCTAACTATCACGGTTCATGAGATACAGCCTGGTGACAGACGGACAGACAGACGGACGGACGGACAGCGGAGTTTTTAGTAATAGGGTCTCGTTTTGCCCTTTGGGTACGGAACCCTAAAAAGTAGGAATTGTTACCTCGTGCTGGACATCCAACTATCATCGTTTAGCCAAATACCAAAACCCATAAAAGTAGGTTATTTCACGTTTCACGTTTCAAGTTTAAATAGTTCTTTCAGATATATATGATTGTTATACTTGCTATGGAGCTGCGTGGCCCTAGTCGCCAACGCCATCTAATCAATATAAGCCGAACTACTTAGTGGCTGGCCAGTTGGTCTAGTGGCTAGTAACCCTGCCTGCTAGGTCGTGGGTTCAATTCCCACCCAGGACAAATAATTGTGTGATGAGCACGATTATTTTTTTTCTGTTTAGCTGCACCACGCTGTGTTACCTGCGGTTTATCTCATTCCACATCAACATTAATTTTTTTCTTAATAAAAATATGTTAATCCAGGGTGTCAGTTACTTCCATAATAAATTTATCAAAATTTCTTCAGCGTGAAGTAACAAACACACATACTCACAAACTTTGGCCTTAACTCGTTTAATATTAGTGTGATCCTATGAATGTATTTAGAAATAAATAAGTGTGTTTATCAGTAATTTGACATAAATCATTAATCTGAAATACATACTACAAGCTCTGTCTTATTTGGGATAAAACGACCTCGTGGTTGAGAAGTAATTAGTCTTAGTTCTCAATCTTAATTCTGTAAAGCAAAAAAATTTAGTGATAAGATTGTTCAATTTCCTTTAAAACCGTTAAAAACTTGGTTGTTGGTCAACGCTAAATGCAGTCCAACAAAAGAAAAATGTAGGGTGTGTCAACATATCGATGGACATACCAACATAGTAATATGTATGTCAGGTCGAGCGTAAGTGAATTCATTAAAGCTGTCTCACACGTGTCTCGTCATTAACTTGTAGTTTTTGTTGCGGTTACATATAGAAAACTAACAATTTTATGTGTGTTATTCATTACTTGCAAAAGGCCTATGTAAACCATGTATTATTATCTAAAGGATTTGGAATCAAAATAGTTACGTCACCTAAGACGTACGAGTATTTCATGTAACTTATTTTCTAAATTTTTTTTATTTGCCCACCAGGGAACAATTAATTTTAACCAAGTTTTTATGGGAAAATTCTACTTACCTATATTTTTTAAATAAACAAAGTTCAGTAGTTCTCCAGATTCAAGAAGAAGAAGAAGTTAATTTGCTTTGCTGTTTATTTAAAATATATATTTAATATAGAATTTACAAAGTATAATAGTTTTAAATGCCAGTACCATTTCTTTTGTTGAAATTATCCCATCAACAGCCTTTAACAGCCCACGTCCAGCTGTGGGCTATTAAAGGCTGTTAATGAAGCCAGTAAGTAAGTACAAATGACTGCAGAAAAAGCCTACAAGATTATCTGAAAGACAATAATTTATGAATATATTAGTTTGCCTGCCTAATCTGCCTATACATTTGCTTAAGTTAATTATGTTTACTTTAATCTGTTTTCTACAGTAGAAAATAAATTATGATGCAAAAGAATTTAAATACACTTGCAAAATTAATGATTAGAATCTTTATCGCTCTGTTTAAGACTTTTCAAAATAAATTGCCAGGTCTTCGTTTTGTAAGAGAGTTTTAAAGATAGTGGAGAGTTTTAAAATTGTGATGTTTTACTAAATTCTTACAAACAAAACAAACAATATTCAAAATAAGGTTCTTTTTTTAAATAAATAATAATAAATAAATTCTGAAAAATATTTAAGACGGTTTAAAAATATTTTTATACATTTATATATATATTTTTATTTATTTTATTTTTTTTAGAATCATTAAAGCCATTCTCAGTCAGAAGCTATTTCTCAGTCATGTAACGGGTATACATAGATAAAATAGCTACATGTCTTGTGCAGCCTTTAGAGTGCAACTAGGCCACGCATGTTTCACTCTACGCATTACGAGGAAACTATTGTTTGTCGATCGTGATCATCATTCGTCTGCGGCCTGTTGATCATTTCCCCGATAACAATTGTCACTTCACCCTTATTCACGTTCTTGAAATATCTCAATCGCCGTGTTTCCGGTACTCCGATGTTTGGAACGTCAGAGCTCTGTTGTTACGACTCTTACACGGCGATGAACACGATTCCCACGAAATGTAAATGAAAATAAAATACTGCGTTCCTATTTGAATTCATGACATTAATTTTTTGTTTGATGTTCGTTTAAAGTGGATGTGACAAGCCGTATCTAATTATTGAGTTACTTTTTGTGGTTAATGTTTGAAATTGTCCCTATTATGCGAGTGGCACTAAATTAAAATAGGTAAGATATGGTTGTTTAATAGGCCTCTGTCTGCATATATCGTGTGTGCGTGCGTGTGCGCTAGCGTGTGTGAACATGTGTGTAGGAATGCGAACATTTAAATAATTTTAATGTACCTTGTAGAACTTCTTCTGTTTTCGTATAATTTTAATGTTTTGAGTGTGGGAGTGTAGGAGTGCCAGTGTAAAATAAATTAAATATTGCCATTGACAAAATTATCTAATTAAAGCTATTACTCATTTAATAAAGTCAAATTGAATCCAGTCAAATGCAATATCGCCGAGCAGTATAAATCATCAAAATCATGTAAGAACAACATTTAATTTAGTTTTGGCTTACTACTCGATTTTAGTGTTATAATAAGGAAGGAAATGACTTGCGATGTTTTTATTGCATTATAAGCATTAAAGGAAGAATTTACAAAACCCAATACTATTTAGTAGTATTAGGTCGTACTTTTAACCACTAACTACCGTATTTATAATGTAAAAAAATGTAATATATAAAAATATTGAAAATAAACAAGGTAAGAAAGCTTTAAACAAATTTTTGGAGCGCTGTCAATAATCATGTTATAGCTTAATCTCAATGATATTACAAATAAGGATTATCACATAAACGCTAATAGAGCGAAGTTATCTACAGGTAGTGCGTACGGCAGGCAAGCGAGCCGCAACAGTTCAGTTGAAAGGCACCCATCTCGGTTGAATAGCGGCCCAGCCCTCAGCTCGCTATTTGCAGAACAATGCAGGCTTGATGTGCGCACGCCGCTACCGGGAAAGCGCGGAGGGAAAACACGCCAAGTCGGCAGTCTCGGCCCGCGAGCGTCAGCGGCCGCGCGCTGAAGCACGCTACCCGACGCCTGCGCCCTGGCGCACGCCGGCACGCGCCGCGCTCGCCGCGGCGTTACATTTTCCGAATCGACCGCAGACGACAACATTGCCACCGTGACAGAATTTCAGTGTCAAAAGGTTGGTGACCCTCACTCTAGTGCAACCAAAATACCACCCAAAAGCAAGGGTGCATGGCCTGGTTTCCTCCCTCACGTGCGCATGACATCTACCACTACGAGTCGTAGTAATTTCCTCGTGCGTCGCAAATGTCAAAACTTTGCTATTGACGGAAATGCAGTTATTAACGGTCTGATTTATTTCCCGTTTATCATGTTTTGGAAACTATCAATTTCATATGAAAGATGTTTTCTCCTATTCCTGTTCTGCAAATGGATTTTAGGAATAGGAATATTTATCGTATTATTTACATAGACTTATAAGATACATACTCATAAGATCTATGCAATAACTGTTTGCTGGATATTTTGTATTAATAACACCAACAAGCCGACCTTTTTCACCGATATTAAATCAGAATTCTTGCAAAACCCTCTACCAGATCTTTAACTCCTGAAGACACAAAAACTGCTATTCAACTTTAATAGCTTAATTAAACACATTACTGCCGATACCATGAAATGTTAAGAATCATTGCTTTATTCCAGAATTTCTCAACCAACCTCATAAAAAGAAAATAGTGTACCGTGACCTATTTATCGAGTCTTAAACTGAAATTAGAATCCGTTAATGTGTACAAAGGAATAAACTGTGCCGACCAAAACACGCCAAGGGATATGTCATGCACCAGAAATAATTATAGTGATACGAGTACAACTAACGTATAAATAGGAATCGATGATATCATCATATGCTTTAACACTTCTTATTTAAATAGATATAATAATAAACACGATTAATAAAAATAACCATACGTTATTCTCAATATATTAATACTTGTAGATAATATTTACCATTTTTAAAACGTAGCTTAACTTAGCTTTTAAGTAGAAATATGTTAAAACGGTTGTAAAAAACTATTATAGTCTAGCGTAAACACAATTCATGGTAATGAATTAGAATCTTTATCATATCTCTATCCCCGAAGGGGTAGGCAGATGCCTATTTCAAACCCAAATTTGGCCAATTATAATTTTTGCATCATTAACATTATAGGGGTAGGCTTACCCATATAATGTGCCGCTAATCGAGTAATTTGGAAATTTAAGATTAGAAAACAAAGGTATTCAAGATAGGGAAGAAATTTAATAAAAAAATTGTAAGCAATAGCTCTAGTCGGTCAAGGTCGAAAAGTATATGTTTAAGTCGAAAAAACGATTGCCAGGCATTCCGAACACTTTACTTTTTTAATTCAATCCATAATAAGCAATAACTATAAAGCATTTTTAAACATACCTATATTTTATTTTCCAACTCTGCTTTTAGTAATAATGTATTATTCAACTTAGAAAGAAGGTTTTGGCCTACTATACCACGCTGCCCTACGCGACGGGTTGGTTCTTTTAGCAGTTCTGCTGTCCTGTGTAATTTGCTCCCTTATTCAGCTTTAACGACACCCACGGGATGAGTAGGGGTAGTGACACTTCCTATTATTAATCAGTTATTCATAAATATTTTCCAAAAAGACCTATTTAATATTTTAATGTTTTTTTTTTAGTTTACATAGAAATATAATTGCACGCAAAGTAAAATGTATAATTGAATAGGTAACAAAAAAAGTACATTTCCATGTTCGCGTGACAGCAAGACTCACGTCACTTGTTTAGTTGATATAGGTTAAACACATTCCATTTTCATTTATGTTATGTAAATATTTACTTTGTTTATTATATTGCATGTTAACAATTGACTTCAAAAAATTGAGGTACTGGATTCAATGCGATCTTTCAGAAGACTATAATACTAAAAAAATACTAAAAAAAAATTAAAAAATATATCTACTTTATGGTTCATGCCATTACTGCATTGCCATCAGGGTAGGTTTAGAATAATAAATAAATGCCTAGTTTGCGTAAAGTGATGAGCAATTGACGTGGAAGAGAGGTGACGTTGAACAGGATAAAAAATTAAGAGATGGAGAACGCAGGATATTGTAATTGGTCATGATTTAGGCATCTTCAAGTCTATCTAATGTATGTCTAAGTCATCATCAACAACAGCTTTTATTAGTCTACTGCTGGACACAGGCCTATCCTTGGAAATGAGGTTATGGCCTACTATACCAGACGCGTGGCTATAGGGTTTGTTTAAGTTTTCCTTCTCTTTGCAGTACTGTTTTTTTTATTCATGGTATTTAATAATCGTTGTTTAGACTCCGAAAATAATTTAAGGATTTTGAAAAAACATGTTTACGAGTATAGTTCGTAATTTTTCCGATACAACAAATATTTTGGTTTAAACGATTGAGATTTCGTAATCGTTTCGAAAATCGTATGAAAAGATAATAAAAGTCTAAATAAGGTTAAAAAATATGCGACGATTTTGCTCAAATATTTATTTGTGTACGTAGAGCGCTCCTGAAATTGGATACATATCAAAAGCACAAACTCAATTTTCATAGAATTTTCTGAGAACGGAATCGACGATTTTTAGTGAAAAGGTCCGTGATTATACAACTGGATTGCATAATGAGCTTTAAGTCATTCTGATAGAGTTCGCTATTGCGTGCTTGGTAATACTAAAAGGATGATCAACAGGCAGGTGAAAGTCCAGACTTCAGCTATTCAAAAACATCAGCCTCATTTTTATGAGTCTGGATTAAAAAATATCCGAACATTTTCCGTTCGTCCAAGCGCAAATTTATTTAGTTTATCTCTCAAGTGAGAATACGAGTAGTTAAAAATGTTATCTTTTTACTTTTGTTTGGATTAAAGAACAAATAATCTTGTATAAAGTGTTAATACTTTGTATTTATTTAAACATTTAAGAGTCGATTTCCTGTGTACGTCTGGCGTTGCAAGAAAATAGCTATAATTGTGAAGGAAGTTATTGTGTACAGGTTAGGTAAACTCTCAATATTTTATTAAGGTATTCCGAGAGTAGGCGGTATAATTTCTTCTCATAACTCAGTCCAAATTCTTATTTGTCAAATCATGAAAAGGTCTAACTAAACTGCATGCTGATGCATCATCATGATCACATCAACAACGTTTAATAGTTGTCTGCTAGACATAGGTGTCTCCTTAGAGAGGAAGTTTTGGCCTACTATTCTACGCTGGCCAGATGGGTTGGTATACGGTGTGTCAAGGTTTCCTTCTCTTTGCAGTGCTTTGTCCTGCGTAGTTTGCTCGCTTAGTCGGCTCTTACGTCACCCACGGGATGAATAGTGTGACATTCTACATTCTGAATCCGTCTTCACACGGATTGTGATAATTGATGATGCAATTTATTCAAATAGAATTTTTGACATTTATTAAAACCAATTATGTTATTATTAATTAATTTTGTCTTTTGCTTGCAAGTCATTGCTTGAAAAACTATTTTCTTTTGGTTTATTTGAACAGGCAATAGTTGTAAATGAAAATCTGTGCTCCTAGCTAAATACTAGGCTGCTATCCACTATATTACCTACCACCCTATTACCTGTTCAAAATAAAAAAAAACCATCAATACACTTATCGAGTATATAAAGTAAAGTTATCGAGCGGTATAAATATTATCTATCTACCTTCGTGTCTATCTATTCTTCATATACTTCATAGTATTCTCTTTTTATCCTGCCTGCTACCTGCTACCTGCTCCGCTCGCCCAATGCCCATCATCCTTTCTATAGCTAAAGGGGTTTATAAAAGGCGCCCACACTTATTTGCGTCGTACAACATGTCCCTTTGATGTGACGCAGCATGTAGACAGGGGATCTAAAGCTGAAAAGGCTCTGCACATTTATTCTTTTTTTATCGTTTTCGTTGTTATAAAATTAGCATTTTAATCTGTAACCAAATTTGGAATATTTATAAAATTGTTGTAATGTCTTTACTAGATAAAGTTTTTGGGTGATAAATCTTTTTGTCTCTAAAAAAGAACTAGTTACAGTGTAAATAAGGGAAATATTTTCGTTTTAGTGAGTGGAGGGGAATGAAAATACATAGGATTTTGTTAAAGTATTTCGGACTTCTAACACACAACGCCATCTAGTTTCAAACAAAGCATAGCTTATACTGTGAAAGCTTAATTATATACTTTTTTTGTTAATACATACATATTATACATAGAAAACACCCAAACTCCGATTTCGAAACACTAAATTTGAAGGGACAACCCACCTGCTTTGTGGTTATATTTTATAAGTTACCATTAGGTGACCAGTAGAGTCACCCCAAGGTGGCAATTTCACCTTAATTCGTTAACTTCTTGGTAGAGCTTCACGGAAGGCTGGAAAGAATTAGCAGAGCAAAAGTGATTACATCGTTCTAGTTTGCTACCTTAGCTTCAGTCATTGTGTCGCTAATGAACTTACGCCAAAGGTATGCTAATTAGTGGTGAAATGTGTTAAATGTCGAAACTCGTTTTCGTTTGAGCAATTACTAGTAGGGAGATACTTCAATTAATATTTTTTTGCTGGTGAATTGAAAGAGAAACATTTTAATCCATAATGTTTGAATTAATTTAAAAAAAACTATTTGTACCGTTCGCCTTGGCACATTCTGGTTGCATTCATGAGAAATAAACGAAAAATAGAAACAAACATACTTTAAAGCAGGTTCTCTATCGAGTCAAAATTTGAGCTCAATTGGTGCAGAACTTTTTTTACACAAACCAAGTAAAAAAAAATATTTATGTAGATTAAGCTAAAATAGACATATCCTTTGCTCAAAATAAACCAAACAGTGCAATTTCCATCATCATCATCAACAGCCTTTACTAGTCCACTGCTGGACATAGGCCTGTCCTTAGAAAGGAGGTTTGGGTTGCAATTTTGGTTATTTTATTTTACCCGCTGACGACACCGGTCAACGATGACGTCAGGAGAAATATTACGTCATACTTGTAGCTACCCCGTTTTACCCTGGTCAATGAAAAGGGGTTAGATACGTCGATACATGTTATTCTGGTGTCGTAGATATAAAATATAGGTATGGAAACAAATGAT